TTTGTCTGGATTGGGTATCATGTGTTTTTAAATTGGTGACTTGACATGGGAGATTCATGTGGGTGCAAATTCATTTGTGGTTTTTACGATCATTAATATATATGTCTATACAAACAAACTCTATATTTTGTCTCAAGGGAATAGGGCAACTATTTATAGTTCACACATATATATCTGACAAATATTATATCAGATGGTCACGTGAAGCCAAAAACTTTGTCTTGTTTGGTCTCTTAATTACAAAAAAAAAATTCTGAAAATATTCATTTGCTTCTCTCTCTCACACACACACTTAAATATCCTTTTAAAAAATAGAGAAAAAAAAAAAAACCCTAATTAGCTCACCGTAGTGATTAGTCCTTCAAGACTTGAAATTTAGATTCACAAATGTAAAGCTAAAATAATCAATTTCCTTAAAGTCTTCAATGTTAAATTAGTATAAAAAGTTAGTTTGAAATAATTAAGTGCTTATAAGTATGCTCACATGAGATAAAATTTCACTCACATATTTACTTTGTATTATGTAAATCACGGTTTTAAACATTCCTACTGTGATTTCAAACAAGCACTAAAACCTGTAACTCAGATTTGATCCATGGCTCTGGAAACCATGAGAGATTGAATGTGTTTGGTACCTTCAAGTTTTAGAGGATAATTAAATTGATTTATTAGGCATGGTTGCATTTGAAAACATAAAACATGTTCATTAATATTACCATTGGTTTTATTATTTAATATTCCTTCAATTCCTAATATAGAACCTAATTGGAGAGTTGATATTGGTTCTATATTTAATATCTATTTCATATATTTATCAATTTTTTTCACATTAATCCTATCGATATTTCCCAAACAATAATCAAGTGGGAGAGAGAAGGAGAAAATTAGAAAAAGATGCTTAAGATGTTTTTAAAAAATATATCATATTAACTAATTTAATTAACATCCTTAATCTACTCAAATTAATTTAATTAAGCTTTATATTAAGGATCGGAGGAGTAATATTTATTTCTTTTCGCACAAACATGAATTTTTTACCTACCTACTTGTTATATATTTTGTCCTACCAAATAACATGCCTTTTTACCTAAGAACTAATGACGCAGGTAAAAATAAAACAGAAGCAAATGTTACCTATTTAGTTACCATCATGTGCGTCAACAAATATTTATTTGCCAAATTTTGAAATACTATAAGGCTGATAGAATTATGCAAATTCAAGATACATTATGGTAATTAATTGAACTTCTTGTTGAAGAATATATGTTTCAGTTGTATACCATCTTTTTAAAATGAAATTAATATATAATAGCTATATTTTGAGCCAATTTAATTTTTATCCACTGCTTGTGGTGGTTAATATTCTTCGTATTATATAGATTAAGGTATTACAACTGGACCAATAATTAAACTAGTTGGGACAGCAATTTAAGAATCAATGCTCCAATTATAGTTGAATCGGTGTCAGCCCAATAATGATTAAAATAATATATAACCTAATTAAAATATACAGAAATATTCATATATATAATTCTTAAAAGTGTAATATTTAAATAAAAAATTAATTCACAAGTGAATGAAATATTCATGTATAAATCATATAGTACAATCCAACAAAACATAGTTATTAAATCACAAATTTGATGGACTACTATTTTGTTTTTCACTTAAAATGATATTGCTTCAAGCTTAGCAAAAAGGCAAAAAATATACAAGTCCAACGTAATGAACATATTCCAAACTCTTAACTAGATTGGTCACATTTCAAGCTCAGTAATAATAGGAAAAATATAAAATCTAACATAGACGATCGGCTCTTCCAAAACTCTTCATTGCATCAATGAAGGGTCTAGTTTAATGGTTTGGCTGATCTTCCTAAATTGAAAGTTGAAAATAGCTTCTTTTTTTTAACTTGAGTTGAATTTTAATGCCATAGAAAATTTACAGCAAATTTAGGAGGGATTCATAAAATATTCAGCAAAAATCTATTGCAAAAGCTTCACAATAATTTATTCCACGACGTGTGAACCGTATAATTCATTCCTGATAAGTCTCTATTCAATATTCAAAGTGCTGCCTAATTCAAACTAAATATGAATAAATTGAAGCGAACATCATTAAAGGGTCATATACTTTTGGAACCTTTTGATTGGTAAATTCTCACCCAACGCAACTTTTGTTTGTTTATATATCTTTGCTCGCATACTGACCATTAATTCTGTGAACCATTATAAGAACCAAACCCTAGGCCTAGAAATTTGGCGAGAACCTAGCTAGCTCCTTCTTTTTTTTTTTGATGCTTTTGTTTGTTGATTACTTTTATTATTACTACTACTTCCGATCCTAAATATAAGAGCTAGTTGACTAATTTAAAGAAAGTAAGAAAATAAGTTAAGTTAATTATTTGTAATAAATATATGTTGTCTTTCCTAAAATATCTTTGCTAATCAAGTATATTGACTAAAACTACCATTGTTAAAAGAATTTCTTTAGAAAAAAATTGGATAAATATGAGAGACAAAGTGAATTAAAGTCTTATATTTGGGACTAAAATAAAAATTAAATAGAGTCTTATATTAAGGACTAGAGGCAGTGTTACTTAACCATTACCCATTAGTTTAGATTATCAGCAACTTAAATTCCTTTTTCTTTTGAGCACTTGTAGTTGTCTTATAAGGTATAGTTTAAAAAGAAAGAAAAGTTATCATACTTTTTACAAGTAAATTAAAATAACATATGGTGCAGGAATTTTTCAAAATTTAATAACCATCAGTAGTTCAGTACAATTATTGATATTTTATATAGCAAAAATTTGACCGGTGTAAACATTCTTTTAAGTGATTTTTGAAGCATAATTTTTCACGTTAACCTAACAAATTTAGGAAATTTAATAATTAGGATGAGATCACTATTACTCTTTTTATTAAGTAAGCAAATTTCATTAAGTAAATTCCATCTTTTCGATCTTACTACCCCCATTTGATTCTTAATAGAAGAGCGTCATGTAACTAATTTGGATAGATTAATAAAATTAAATTAATTATAATTTATGTGATATGATTTTTCTAAACTACTTCTATAAAACATTAGAATATTATATTATATATTAATTTATAAATTAAATAAATTAGTTTTAAAAAATGAAAAATATGAGAAACAAAATAAAGTGAAATGAAGTCTATCAGGATTAGAAAGAATAATATATAATACCAAGGCTAAGACACGCCACAGAACTGCAAGATTATAGTTATTGGCTTGTGGACTTGTGATCACACATGTATATACCATCTATACACGTTTTACATTGCAAGAGAAAAACTTTAAAATCAAGTGAAATAAACTTGATTCTCTTAAATAAAGTTGAAAGTTCAAACGTTGAAAGTGAGAGAAAAAAAATCATATTGAAAAAATTATTCTGAACAGTATTCTCGAACGTGACTTAATAGTAGAAAGTATTAAATAATTACATAAAAAATATGCAACACGTAATAATATCAAGTCGCAAATACGTACCCTCAAAATTATGTTTTTTATAACAAAATTAATACTCTGTCCAATTTTGATTGAAAAAACTATGATCTTTAATGTAAGATCATTTGTTTGACTTTAAAGGGATTTGCTCTCATACTTGGAGAGGTGGGAGTTCTCTAACTTCTTTATCATTTACATGCCCACTCTCATTTTGCATATTAAGCCATTTTAACATATAACTATTTAGTAAAAATAAACTATTAAACCTAAATGTCAACAACTAAGACTTGTGCTATTTTGGCTTCTAAATCCAACAGAAAAAAAAATCAAATTCGATAAAATTATATGCACTCACAATGAATAATAGAAGAATAAACACTCAGACTACTGAAAATTGCTTGGGTTTGGGCTCCTTCCTATGCAGAGAAAAAGGAGATGGCCCAAATTTGAAGCCATCTATGTCTCACTGCTAAAGTGATCTCGAGTTCAAATCTCATTATATAATAAAAAGATCACTTTTTTAAAATATCAATACGTCAATGTAAAATATATAGCATATCATACTACCATAAACAGCACAGAGAAATATGTCTGTGTGTGTGTGCGCGCGCGCGCGTGTGTGTCTTTTTTTACCTGGAATCTCTGAACATGGTTGAGACTTGAGACTTGAGTGCGCTTCAAGCCAAGGTTAAACTTTCTATGTGATGCAAAACTCGATTTTTTTTTTTCTAACCATACACATAAATTAAATGGTTTGAACAACTTTTACATCTTATATTGTTATTAAAACTTTGATAAAATATAAATAAAAATTCATCCATACTTTTTCCCAGCACAAAATGCCCCGTGTCGAGACAAACATGCATGTTAATAACTTCATCAGCCTAGTGTGATACTATATTTATTTACTTAATAACCCAACTTTTTCAATTTTTCACAATGAGTTCTTTAAAATTTTCAACAGAGGGCAAGACAAATCAAATATGAAATGACGCAAGCTACTAGTCCCAGTCCTTAAAGAGTCTAAATTCAATTTGATTTTAAATATATGACATCAATTTACTTTATCTTCAATACTTATCAATTTTGCTTCATGTAATTCCTATGGTAATTGTACATCTTAAAAAGTTTTCATCAAGGAGTAACTTCAATACACCAGATTGATAAATGTTTTTTGAAAAAAACATCCATTTATTATAAATAAATAATTTAATTTTTTAATATCTGTAAAGTAGTTTTTTAGCTCTCAAATTAATGACTGAAATTACCACATCACAATGCCATATTTTTCTCTGTCGTTGCATTTAATCGCATGGTTATTATCTGATATGCATGTGGTGCCCGTTCTTAAAGACTACGAAATGCTTGACCATCTAATAATTCATCTATTAAGATTTTCAGGAAAATTTTTCTACAATATATGGATGATTCATAGAATTAACTTTACATCAACGCCTACTTTAACACCATCTCCATGACTGATGGCTGGAAGAGCGCCTAGGGTTAGCACCTCTAAGCTAAAACTAACCTATCATCAGTTGCATGCTTCCCATGTTCCAGCCAGATGCTTCTTGATTCCTAAACTATGCCCTCTAGAACTATAATCATGGATTTGTTGTGAGAATACTAGGTTGCAGCTGTACGTGTAATTTGTAAACCACCACCATTGTACAGGTGATGTGAGGCCAAGGGTACCATACCATTGCGTTTCATGATTGCTGCCAACCTTTCTAGCTAACATTTTTCAGGCTGCTCTGCTATCTAACAATAAAACATTACCCTCTTCACATTTTCTTTCAAGGCTGGCAATGGCCGGACCCCGCATTCTCCGGCTGCTCGTGTTGCTTTGGAACCATGACTCATGCTACCACCACCAGTAGAGCCATTCTCCTGCATCTCTGGCTCCATATAGAAACGGGCCCGAAATGCTGCTAGATGTGCATAATATGCCGGAGGAACTGCAAGAGGAAAATTCAGTTATATTTTCTTGGACAGGATCACAGGGCAGAAATTTGACCATGACTTTATCTTGAAGTGATGAACTATTCCGGACTGAATTGAGGGGTGGTTAGATAGCAGAATGATTAAGCACGTTAGGCATCACCTCTCTATTAAGCAATACCTTGCTCATCTTCCCACAATGTATTCTTGCCTCTCTTTCCAGGAAATCTAAATTCAGGTAGGTTAAATTTAAAATTACCCATCCTTAAGGGGTTAGGACTAGTTTTTAAGATGTGTCTGGATTGAGAAAAAGCCAGAAGAGAAGCGAAGGAAAGGTTTGATTTGCCCCAGGTGGAAGGGAGTCCTTTTCTTCCATTATGCTCATTCCAAATATAACCTTAAGAATCTCATACCAAAGAGGAAAAATAAAATCTAATCAGTAATTTGATGTACTTACCAACAGATACAGAACGCGTACACCTAGCATATGTATAACATAGATTGTTTGTCAAAGACTGAATTCCATCTGCTGTGAAGTTGTTTTCATCCCACAGGACATGATAATGAGCTGGCCGACTTGTCCCCTGCATGATAGTAGTAAGATTAATAATTGCTGCAAGTTAGACATTTAAATTTTACACTCTGTAGCAGCTACATTCTTTACCAAGTTATTAATAAAGGAATCTCATGAGGGTCACTCTGAGTCAATATTTAGTTATCTCAAGATAAAAGCAATTAAACTCAGATCTTCAGGACAACCTAGTGAGTTAACGCACAGTTGAAGAAAATGTCCAAACATACTACCGGATTAATATCCACGCAAACCTGTGTTACCCAATATAGAGCCACGACCAAATATTACAAAACTGCAACAGAGGGGGAAACCGCCTCAGTCCAATCACACCTCATTCAATTTGTCTGATGCGTCCAAATTTTTAAAATTTCCTTCAGTGTTGAGAAGGTATCCAATCACAACGATTGCTCGGGAGACAAGTTACAGGGGCAAGAGGTCTTTGATAACAAGTAAAATAAGAATGTTTTACTCTTAATGTTGCTTTCGCCCCACACATCAACTTCAGAATCAACACTAAATTGATTGCAGCTTGTTTAAGGTGGGTTGTGCTCTCGTCAAACCATAGAATAAAAAGGTGGGATAGCATTCCATCTTATACTTGTATTTCTCTCACCCTCCATCTAATGTTTTGACATATGTTAACAACGATACCATGTTAACTTGTTTCGGAAAAAAAGAAATACCTGAATACCAGCATGACTGCAGAGATAAAAATCAAATTCTGTTGGATGACAGATTTTAGAATCAACAACGGTTCCTGAAATGAAATTAGCGGAAGACAAGCCAAGCCCATGAGTTCATCATTTACAAACATGATAAAAATATATTAAAAATTCTGATGTGTGCCTAAGAATTGTAGGAACGGCCAAGCTTACCAGGCAATATATTCCCACTCTTATCTGTGCTGCTCCTGTCCCTGTGGTTGTTTGCAAACAACCTAGTGTGATGTCTTTTTTGTACAACAATAAAAGTTACTGGAGGTTGATAGTTTGGCTCTAAGGAAGCACAAGCCTGTACAGATATAGCCTTTCAGAACATGTCTTCTCTATAAAAAGAATTCATGTGTAATGAGAGTGAGCAGTCATTCTCACCTTCCGGATTGCATCTAACTCGTAAAGTAGAACTTGATAAAACTGCCCTTCACTTACACCGTCCCTGTTTAAAATTCATTATGGTTATGAAAGCAACTGGTGTGGTATACATTAGAAGCAAAATCAAACTAGAACTCATGTATGTGAACTTCTACATATCTGATTTGGATGGAATTCACCCAATAAATTGCAGTAAGCATGGAACTATTCTCCTCCCCCGGAAAGAAAGAATAATGACACTCTAGATTTCTGATCTGATTGACTCAACGGCTAATAATGATCGCATTTCTCAGGTAATCATAAGCATTTGTATAAGATCATAATGTATCCTTTAAGGCTTCAATAAATGGATGCTGTTGATACATTAAATGGTAGGACATGTTCATTCTGAGTTTGTGCAAATTGAAGTATCCTCACACAAGTTCTTATTTCAACATTTGAGTTCTTATTTTAACAAAACATTTTATGAGGCTTTTGCATTATTAACTAACTACTACCTCCGGTCCTATAAGACCTCATTTGTAGAATACAATCGAGGTCTTAGAGATAGTATTAGACAAGCAAATAGACAAACACAATTCAAACTAATTTTCAAATATTCATCACATAAAAGATACAAACCTGTAAAATATTATCCTTAGTGGCTTCTGTCCTGTTGCCTTCCTAAAGGAGACCAACAAGTCTCTGCACATGGACACATGAAAACAAAATATTGAGACCTAGAGCAAGGTATTCATCACAAAAAAAAAAAAAAAAACCCCAATATGGCATTCATAATGTGGATGTGAAAATCATTAAGTATCATTTACCGGATCATGCCACCACTAACTGTGCCACGAACAGGATCATGCCAAGTTTTGTACAAATCTTGAATGAGTTCCTGTCTGTGAGCTTGAGCACACACTAAACCAGCATATTTGGTCACTTCAGGCCAGTCTTGGGAGGCCACTACCTAGAGATTGCATACCAGATTAATCGCTGAAATCCTCAACAACCATTGCAATGGAGGAAGAGAAGCAGAGATAAATAGATTCAGTAAACATACAGCTGCTATTGAGGGACTGGAATCTTCTCCATTTTCAGGGTGTGTAACATCTGCTCCAAATATTATTGTTGGAATGTCACTGACCAGTGGTATTTTGCAGCTTATAGCATCAAGAAGAACAGTGTTTCTGCCTCCCATCTGCATAAGGAATAAGGTAAATATCATCACATGATCACTGCAATCAATGAATAAGAAATGAAAGATAGGAATTTCTCACTAGATCCTATAAAATCAGAGAAAATTGGGGTTTATCAATGCACTAAGGCTGAAAGCACAAAAGGACCAGACTACGTATTTAGAAGGTTGTATGATGATCAACAGAAATCCATAATCAACTTGGAACAAATTAAATACTGAGAACACTCTCTTTCATGCGATTGAATGGACACAAACCTTAACATTGATCTTCAGAGACACATTAGCCAGATACTGTTTAGTGATCTTAAAGACATGCTTAGTGAGGCAGCATTGAGAAATTAAACCAAGGTCAGTTTCACAAATTCGCTTGAGATCACCTGAGAACAAAAGATATTCAAATGGAAATTCATAATTTGAGCATTAGATGTCCTCCGTTAAATGAAACAGCAACATATATATTATCAATTTCAAGACACTGACTTACCATAAAGAGAGCCGTTGTTGTCAGGCAATATTGCTAATAAAAGCTCTAATTCCTTTCCCTTGGTTTTATTCATCGAAACATGATAAACATGCTTTAAAGCCTTCTCTACCTGCTCAGGCTTGGCATTATATATTGGGATAACAGGCTCCGGATTAAATTCCTGCCAGAAACACCATATTAATAAAAACAAAAAGATTAAATCCCATTCTAAATCCCATTCCTATACTACAAACAAGTAACAACATAAGAACTGGACAGATGGAAAATTACCATGCCAGATACTTGACACATCTGGGCAAGTTCACTACAAAAACTGCGAGAAACACTGTCTTGCACATTTCGTGAAAAATTTATGCATGCCCACCGGCTAACAGTCATCCCATTGATCATTTTCTGTCATTCAAGTGTCAAGTGACAAAAAATAAAAATATTATTCAGAGCTATCACCAAAAATTTTCTGGTCAAAACAAGTATAGCAAATACCTTGCGAAATTTGAAACCAACATTAAATTGAATCAAAGCCATCTCATGATATAATCAGGGATGAAGGATTATTTAACATTAACATCATTCCCCTATTTTTTTCTTTTTCTCTTACTGTGTTTGGGATATGAATGTTAATCACGCTACAGAAAGTAACAATAATTAGTAATTAATTTTGTCACATTTGAAAATGTCATTTCCTACATGTGTTACTTATAAGGCTAAAATATTCATTCAGTACTTTAACTTTATAGAGAGTTCCAATTTGGTCCCTTAACTTTAAAAAGTATACTTTTGCCTTTAACCCTAAAATTATTAACAAAAAATAATGACAGTGAGATCTTAAATTTTGATAAAACATTCTCCAAAGCTAACATATTATGTTTAATTTTCAAACAACCATAATTGTTACAAAAGATCATCATCTTAGCCTAACGATTTTAGGGTTAAAGGACTAGATGTATACTTTTTAAAGTTAAGGGATCAACTTGAAACCTTATACAAAATTAAAGGACCAAATGTATACTTTAACCTACTTATAATATGAATGATAATGACGCTCTAGGTAGTGACATTAATCTATGTATATGTAGATCTATATATGGTAGAAAAAAATTTATAAAAAGCTACACTATTCATAAGCCAAGAACAATGCAGTACACTTCAAACGACATACAAAGGAAGGGCCCACAATCTAATTACTAATAAAGCCTTAGCATTTGGAAATATCATTTCCAAATGGAGTGGCAGGCATTGTAGACTATTTCTATCTTTTCCCCAGTTACTTTTGTAGATGATTATATCATGTTTTTCAGCTATAAAAAAAATTATAGGAAAAAAAATGGGCAAGTGGCAACTATAAGAGTTAAACCCAGTCTAAATCCCATATTGATAGATCCTCCCCAAAAAAAAAAATCATATTGGCTGTCAACAGCAGAAAGTAAACATAGTTCGGCTTTTCTCCTCTCAGCTGATTGAGAAGATGTTAATTGTAAGAACAATATATACCTTGTTCATCATGTTCCACTGACCAACTTGGGGTAAGCAGTTCTTTTCTTTACCAGTGTCATGATATTTCAACTGCAGTAAGAGCCACGAAGCAATTAACAATATGAAAAAGGTATTACTAAATGTTTCAGTTTATTACAAACATCTTTCGATGGAGACCACATTACCCATGGGGCAGGAAGAATTCGTGCTTCAACAGAAGCTAATTTTTCACTGATCTTAATCCCAAACTCCTTTGCATAAGGATCTTGATCATAAGCATTATGTTGAATGGTCTGCTTGTAAAAAATAAATAAATAATATAAAATTAACATCAACACTCAACTTCACCATTAGCTTTTTTGATATCACATAAATTCATTTCGTTTTCAACGTTGGTAACAATAACTGTCATTTTATTACATACATGTCGTAAGCACTATAATTAAACCATTATAATTAACATTCCAATAATTATGTTACTTAGAAATTTAAACCTCTATCCCACCATTATAGAAATAATAAAACACGATTTAACTGAAGATTTTTTTTCCTGCTCCACAATGCATCAGTAAAATCTTCCGGCTCGACAATGCATCAATACAATATTAGCATCCAAAATTTGTAAAGGCTAGGAGATTAGCCATTAAGGCATCCTCATGCCAAAAATGGTAATTTGTAGTGGGATCTGATATATTGCCGAACCTCACAAAAGAATTAAGAACATGTTTCACTAAAGAATCAGCATTAGAAAAGGGCATCTCTATGTTCATTCTGCATAAAAATAAATGAATCCTTACTTAGTAGCTATTTAGTACATTTAATTAGTACTGGACTTGAAATTATTGTCTAAATTTAATCACTTTAGATCCTTCTCTGCTGATGACTGCACAACCAAGTACTATTACATTATATTTTGAAATAACGGGAGGTAGCTGATTCTTCCAATAATAAAAGCTCAATAATGAATACCCGCAAAATGTCATTTTCCCGATCACGGGGTCTCTGACAAGTAACTTTCAGCAAAGCAGTAATTTGCTTCTCGTTCAGCCTTTTTGTATACCGTTGCCCCTCAACAATCTTGCATGCCTGCAAAACCAGAAGCACATAGAATTTTGCAAATTTTTCAATAAAGAAGAATGAAGCCACTTCAGTTACTAGGAGCTTTTCTTACCTCCATAGGCAAATAGTTCGCCTTCTTTTGGTTTCCTACTTGAAGGCAAGGTAGGTGAGTATGCTGAATAGTGAAACCATACATCTCTTGGAAGTACTCAACTACTGATTTCATAGTTGAGTTGTCATCAACAGGAAACCTGAAGATATATATCTCCATTATAGACCAAACTTGCAGGCATCATTAGAAACTAATTCTGCCAAGAATTTTCTTTAGGTTAACAACAAAAAGAAAAAGAACTTACACAAGTTCTCTTGTTGGTTGAGAAGTCAACCCTGAAACGCGATATTTTCTTCGTACACTCCCTCTGTGTGTTACTTCAACTTTGACCCCTCTAAGCCCTTTCTTAATCTGTTAGATATCTTAAAGTAGCTCTGTAAACTATTCAATATTATCTAAACTGAAAATTTAAAAAAGTAAGTGAGCATCCTTTGTAATCATGGACTAGGTACCTTTACACGATCAGCATCAGACAATGGCCTTGACAACACATCTTTTCCTAACAGCTGACCAACAAATTCCACTACAGGAAGAGGCTCAATAAACGCAGCTGAGGCCATATCTAAAATATTCAAGAACACAGTAAAAGTAAAATGAAAATTGAATTAAGTTTAGATAATCATCAATAAATAATACTCCGGTCCTAAATATAAGGTCTATTTTGTACTGTAAAATACACTACAAGATGGACCTTATATTTAGGACCAGAGGAGTAACACATATCTACATCATGCATTCACTAGATTATCAATCAATAAATAATGACATACCAATATTGAGGGAAAGGCCCATCTGAGTAGGCCTTATGCTCTGGTAAAATCCACACCATGATTCCAATCCCTCCCCAAGCCTTTGAGGTGTTCTTATATGGGGTGAAAAGAAAGACCTCCCAATGGGGCAAAACCTTTAGAAAATGCAGCCTTTGTGAGATTGACAATAAGTAGAATTTCACTCAGATACAATTCATGAACGTCAAGAATTCGGAAGCTAGTGACTAATGCTACCTTTTAGTTGATAGCTCTCTTAGTACAATGTCAAGAATCTGAAGTGCTTCCTGCGGAGCATCGGCTCGCTTACCAGCTAGAAACTGGCCCAAGTGATGCAAGTTTGCCCGAGCAACAAACTTTATCACCACTTTGTATTCTCTTTCCCTTCTGAAAAATGCCCATGTGTCAATAGAAATTGAAACTCATTCAACTGCATATCAAGCTGAGCAATCATGCATCGAAGTCAAATGAAAAGATTTAAGTTGTTCTTATTTATATATAATTTTATATCTTCATCTCCGCTGTTGTTTAGAAGAAGACATGTCAGTGAAGGTGAAAATAAGATTCTGGCCTGATGCAGCCCAAATGGGGGAGGGGAGAGGGGGAAAAGAAAATTGCCAAGAGATGATGGACCGTAAATCCTTACTTGGGACCATTAACTCCATCGTCTTCATCTACAAGCTTAATTTTAAACTCTCTCCAAGCAAAGGGAAGCTCCCCTGCTGTGTACAGGCCTTTTCTGCCATCATATGCAGGAAGTCTCATCCCCAAGTCAGACTCTTTGTACAGTCTCACGAGTTCCGCCATAATGGCCCTGTTTACTGTTCTAGACGACACTTCTGGGGTAATAGTGACCTGTAAAATACAGTAACGACAGACGGTATTATTATAGCAACGAGGAAGCAATAAGAACAAAACCTCAGAAGCCAAATTGAAGGATTCATAAATGGCTCTACAATAATAGAGCAGAGCCAAAAAAAACAGATGCCCATTCAATTGCTTATGGCGATTGAACAGCGCACATTAGAGGAAATCACAGGATGACTTTAATACCATCATTAAGGATCATATGCCGAAAGCTCAATTAATATTTTACAGTAGAAAGCTGCTAACTTACATCATACTGATTCAAGTCCTTGTCGGGTAACTCTGCAAAGAAATGGTTGGCCTTCACCATGCATTTTGTCCCAACTTGTCCGTATCCAGGCCTCGGAGCGAAGCTCAGAGATTTACTTGAAGTAGGAAACCCCATCACAACATCACAAGAGTTGTTGCCGCCATTTTCAACAGGCCCATTTACAGTACTTGATACCACAATCTGACCCGGGTTTTCTGATAGCGGTTTGTTAGCCACAGTGCAGGGTCGACAAGCGGGTCTCATCGGAACATCGCCTTGATCGGACTTTCGGCCTCCTCGGCTCCTTCTTCTTCCTCTGTTCTTTGCCGGAGGCGGAGGTTGGCTCTGGCTATGGGGTTTGGCGTTGTGAGGTTCTTGAGGTGGTGGACCTTTGCCATTTTGGACCGTTTTGGGTGCTTTCTTCGCTGGATTTATGGAGTTCTGCAATTGGGTTTTGATCACAAGATGGTGCTCCGAGCTTTCTTTCATTTGCCTCACCGGCATGTTGGCTGGCTTGTTGAGTGATGACCCGAATGGGTGCCCGAAAACACACTGGTCGAGGGTGACACAAGCGTTGGCAAATGCCAATTGCACAGAAGCACTATGTCGTTCAGTATGTCTTTTTTTAACTTGTACCCGCCACACAGTAGCGTTGCTTCAGCTGAGAATACAAGAAAAACCAAATATAGAAAATGCAGGTCAGCAAAATAACAGTAAATTGTGGAAGGAATGACTTCACGATGAGATTACTCATCTGTTCGACACGAGAAGTTAAAGAGTAAAGATGAAGAGTCAAACATTGTTTATGATTACAAGCTTCACTATTTCCTTGGAAAACTGAGTTTCTTAACTATTCACCTTAGTTTCAGTAAGAAAAACGAACAACAAAAATGAGGGCTCGACCAAAGTCGAGAACAGAAGCTACCGAAAATCGCAGAGGAAGATAAGACAACGAAAAGCGAACTTTGACTACATTTTTTAGTGCACTTTGCTCAAAATCTCAAGACCAGCGGATATGAAGCCCCAGTGTGAAATTGCAGCTTCATAGTAAGCTATTTGACACGAAACATTACAAGTGGTAGAGACAAAATGACCGGAAACGGGGGGAAAAAAAATCCGTTTCGGTTCTTCGGCTACAAACCCAATCACCATGAAATCAGAAGGAGAAGAAGTAATAATAAAATGTTTGTTAGGCACATGAAAATCCAGAGAAATGGAAAAACACAGAAGACAAAACCAGTACCGTAGGCCTGTCCCCTACAATAGAACGAAAATCGCAGAGAAGGCGAACAAATGAAGCCAGATAAAAACACCCGGAAAAAACATCAGAATAAAGAATTGATCACGAAGACAGATTTGAAACCAACAGGACAGCCTCCAAATGCGAATAAAACAGCCAGAAGAAAACAAAAATCAGGAACAATATCCCAAGGGAAGGAATGAACATTGAAAAGGGCAGCAAAAAACACTATCTGGAAGATTTGCAGTGGGGGGAAAAAATTTAATGCTGCTGCATAGCGCAAATTGCTCCATTAAATGCCGTAAAGTCTAAACAAGTCAAAAAGAGCAAATCAAAAAAACAGAAATCTCACCAACCAAACAAAACAGCGGGAGTGTGAAGCAAATAGTAAAACCGCAAAAACTCACCCTCTTGGATTAGTCAAGAAGGAAGAAGTTTGAAAAACAGGGAGGATTCAGATTCTTTGAAAGAAGAAGAAAAAGGAAGAAGGCGAGGGAGGGTGAGAAAAGAGAGATGATGATGATGATGAATCTTATACACGCATGCAAGCGCTTTTGGTGTCTTCTTTATCACGTGTAAAAGCTTGTGAGGCCCTGCTCTATGCTTTTAAATCGCCTACACACACACACACATTTTCTCTCTCTTTCTCTCTCTCTCTCTCTCTCTCTCACAGATCGCGCAGCCTCGGGGACGTACCATAACCTTGTAAGCAAAAAAGAAAATCTAAAATAATACGCTGTGCGAGCGAGAGATGGAGAGAGAGTGGTGATGAGGGTAATGAGTCCAAAAGAGCTACTGAGTATTTATAAAAGCAATCATACAAGGAAGAAGAATAATTCGAACTTGCAGTTCTCCACCTTGCAGGCTTCTCTCCCATTTCTGCTTTCTCCCTCCCTCTCTCTCTTCAACTATTTTCTCGGCAATTTTCTCTCCTCCCCATGTAAATGTCCCGACATTTTCTTTTTCTTTCTTTATTTTTGGTCTTCAGGTAAAATCCAGTTATAATTTCTTATTTCTTACTAATACTTTTCCATGTTATAGTCAAGACTCGAGTTAAATACTCCTATTTACTTGCTTTCAAATGTATCAAAAAAAAATACTCCTATTTACTTAATATAAAACTAAATTAACTAATTTAAGTAAATTAAAAACATTAGCTAAATTAGTTGATATAGTACGTTTTTTTTTCTAAAACACTTTAATTATCTACCTTAATTTCTTTCTTCTCTCTTCTTCTATTTTATTATTATTAAGAGAATATTAATAAAAATAATTTTTAAAAAATTGACAAATATGTAAAACATGTCTTACACATAGAACTAATACCAACTCTCAACTTGAGTAATTAATTTATAAATATTAATAAATTTCATTAATTTTGTTATTTTAAATAAATATGTGTTAATTTTTTATACATTTTTAATAAAAATCTTAAATATCTTTTTTTGATTATTCATTGAAAAACTATCCTATTAATAAAAAATTTCCTTTAATATACGCACTAACAGGATAGTTTAGAAAAAAAAATGGTGGCAAAAAAAGTTTAGAAAAAATAATAAATTTAAAAAAAATTAAGATTTTACATTCATATTTGATCAACTGTTTCTACATTTAAGAGCAGTAATTCTGAGATACCACTTCTTTTGGGGCACCACAAGGAACCTGAATTCATTTGGAAAAAAAAAATCTAGATTTATAATTCAATTCTCTTTGCATTTAATGAATTTAATACATAGGTTAAGACTAATAAATTTTTTTACTTGTTTCTGTTGTTAAATCTCTCTTTATTTAATGAGCAGAAATAAAGCACTCTGTCTTAGTAATTTATTGCAGAAGATTTCAGTCATTTTCAAATTGCACCGATGGTCCTTTGAATAACTTATTGTATAGCACATGAATCATTATCATTAGTATTAAAAAAGACATGAATCACGTAAAAATTAAAATGAAAATTTATTGTTGTTTTTTTTTTGCCAACGAAAATTAGTTGTCTTAGGGCGTTCCAAAATTTTCAATATGTATATATGACTTTGAAATGGAGACCATAATGATTGCTGCGAGCTCAATAAGTCAATTTACCATGCTATGATAAATTTCAACATGAATTCTAATTAATTATCATAGATAATTATTTGAAGTATAAAATGATACTTATAGTTAGTTACCAAGAACACTAATACTGTCACTGGTTAAAAAAAAAATACTCATACTTTCTCCAATCCTTAATATAAAAATTAGTTAAAAGTTAGATTTAGTCTTAAATCTAAGACATCAATTAACTTTATCTCTCAAATTTATAATTTATTCTTTAAAACATTCCTATTGGTTACACGCATCAAAAGGGTTTCTAATTTTCCATCAAATGGAAGTCATGATTAAAAGGATAGTTTAAAACAATCAAATCATATTTATTACAAATAACTAATTTAACTAATTTTTTTATTTTATCCAAATTTGTAGCTCTGGTGCTAGTATTATTAATGTTCTCAATTAATTTCTATTCCAATATTTAATACTAATTTCGGTCCTAATTATAAAATATTGTTTGTAGACTACAAACAAAATTTTATAATTAAGACCAGAAACAGTATATAATTTAAAAATCATGGTAAGCCTTAATCACGATATCCATAAACGGTGAATAGTATGAGATATTTTTTTAAAATACCATGCAAGTCACTTAATAAGCTAAGCTACTGTATAAGTCTATTTCATCATAATTAGGCCATTTTAATTCAGGTTAATGTGATTAGTAAATTTTTTTTATCTTAAACAATTACTCAGCGTTTGATTCTCTGCATTTATATATATAGAGTAAATATCAATTAGAAGCGATTAACCTTTTATTTTATTAAATTTTTTTAAACATAAAGTTATGAATTTGAATTATCAATAAAAAATTTATATAAAAAGCCTCAGTTTCGACATTATGCAGCGCATGAAATTGTATACTAATTTTTAGTATAACAAAAAAAGGGCATAGTTTTATAAATAATATATTGTTTATGGTATATGAATCATTTTTTTGTTTTTTCTATTGATGTCGATTATATTAAATTTTTAATGTGAATCAGCTTTTTAAAAAAACAAATACAAAAAATTGGGGATAAATCCCTCATTAAAAAATTAATTAGCAAATAATTCCTAAGATGATAGGTTGTACAGAGATAGATAGGTTACACAGAGATAGATAGGTTGCACATAAATGAAGTTGAGTTGTATATAGAGAAAATGGTTTGCACAAAATATTATTCGGATATAAGAAACTACTTTGTACATAAGATTTATAACTTGCACAAAAGGAAAAATATCGCACATAAAGGATATTTAATTGCACAAAGAGAAAATGTGATAAAAAAATATAATTGCACACACAAAAAATATGGATTGCACGTGAAGGAAGTTAAGTTACATACTGAGAAAGTTTAATTGCACAAGCTCTTTAGATACTATGATTTATCAATTAAACTTTTAATAAGGAAACTATCCCAGTGTTTCCAAACAAATAGGGAAAAATTTTTAAAAAAAATTTTAAAAAAATGTACAGTGTTTTAGTGGGCGTGAGGGTGGTCTCTGCGTCTGCCCATCCAGTTAGGCACTGCTTTGCTTTGGTAAGCCTCGTAACGGTCGATTCAATGGAGCTTGAGCCGCTGGGGCCCACGCTCCCTTGTGGTGCCTTTTAAAAAAAAAATGAAAAACAAAATATTTCGCCTATTTTCGGACTACAGCCATGATTGAGTACTTCGCGGTCTTCTGCCTTATGATGAGGGCCCTAGCGGGACCGACACTGTTGAGGTGATCATGACACAGAGTGGGGTCATGATCATGAAACTTGGCTTTTGTAGTAGTGTGGGGTGCGGCTTACACTAATCATTGGATTATGGGGTAAGGGACAAACAAGGACACTTTTTTTTTTTTTACCAAAAAACAAAGCACACTAAACACTATTTGGATAATTTAGGTACCGGAATAAGTTTTAGAGCTTGTTTAGATTGATTTATAAATAATTTTTTAAATGTGATTTATGAAATACGAGATAAATATGTGAGACGAGTTTTGTTTTGACTTACGTAAACTTACTTAAAAATTTGTTTTGAATAGAGTTCCAAACAAGCCTTTAATAAAACTTGAGGCTATCATAAAGTTAATAAAATATGTAAGATTAGACTTGTAGTATGGAGTTTTTGTGATCTAAATTTGATATATATATATATAGTATTGTTATTTACATAAATGACAATTCAATTTTTGTTCAGATTAAATTTTGATGAGTCAGTTCTATTCAAATATTAAATTGCCAAATAAAATATCAAATTTCAGTTGTTAAAACTGAATTCAGGTTTTAAAAAAAAAAAATCAATGAAATTGAACCATATCAATGTAAAAACCAAGCAGGAAAAGAAGAGGCAAGAAGTCAAGTTTCATAAAATGGCTTTTGTTTTATGGTTCAAAAGTTTCATAAATGACCGAACTGTAAATGATAACAAATTGGACTTGGACCATAATAATAATTTGGGACCCACACAAAAAAATGATGTCAAATGTGGAAAAATCAACAAGACATGATCAAAGGGCAATCAATTGTAAATTGGAAGATAGTGATTGGGAATGAGGTGCGAAGATCATTACTTGTTGACTCAAAAAGAACGCCAACCAAAAAAAAAAAAAAACTATGTTTGCTTTTAAGGAGGATACCTTTCACCAATGCAAATTAAATCCAGTAAAAAAGATTAGTTTTTTATAAGTTAATAAATCAAGATTCGAATCCCCATTAAAAAAATATTCATATTTAATATGCAAAAGCGTCTCGAATAAGATGGATTCTAACATAAAAATACATTTGCGTAGCAAAAAGAGAAGGTACTGTACCTTTTCAAAGGTAGGGCAAAAAAAGAAAAAAAAAAAAAAAGGGCAGTTCAATTCAATCCATTCCTTATTCATTTCACTATCTCAGTGTTGCTTTTTAGGTGGCATTATTGGCTTTGTGTGAATGTTAGGGTTTTGGAACTAAAATGGAGGTATCATTGAGTGGATTGGATTCGCTATTGATGCTATAATTCTTAAACTTCGATAAATATGTACTTTGTTTTTAAGGTATGAGTCTTTACATTCATGTATAATTAAAGTGATTAGAGTCTGTTTAACAAGGTCATGTTTGACTAAACTTGTATTCTAGTTCTAAAAAGTAAAGCATGACTTTTTCATTTGGTATTTGACAAAATTTATTATATCAAAGTATCTTACGGATAGAAAATCGCCTTCAGAATGACAACGATTTATTAAATTACTATACTTTTATACAGTTATATGATACTACATCCAGTTTTAAATATAAAAGCTAATTAAAAGTTTTAAATATAAGATCTCAATCCACTTTATTTTTCTAATTTATAATATGTTCTTAAAAATAACCCTATTAATTGAAGTTATTTTCACTCCAGTATAGTTCTAACATGCATGATTGAATAAGGGTAGAGCCAGTAATACAAGCTGGGCCCGCGGGCCCAACCCGCCTTGGGTTGGTTTTTTGCCAGCCCGCCACGGTGCGGGCTACTCTAGCCCGCATCGCTTTTAGCATGCTCCATCGCGGGCTGGCCCACGGGTTGGCAGGCCAGCTCGCTTTTTTTTTTTATTTACTTTTTTTTTATTTTTAATACATTATATAATATAGTTA